CCCTTTTTTTTAGATTTTTTTATCCCGCCTTTATTATTTTTATAAATAACTCAAGGTGGCGAACATACCTAACACTCCTTTCTCTTCCTATTTTCCCCACAACAACCACCCTGTAAGGTGAGTTCGGCTGAGAGAGAGGGATTGGCCCAAAGTCACCCAGCCGGCTTTCCTGCCTAAGGCAAGATTTGAACTCACCGTGTCCTGGTTTCTAGCCTGGTGCTTAACCACTAGACCAAACTTCCTTCCTTCCTTCCTTCCTTCCTTCCTTCCTTCCTTCCTTCCTTCCCCCTCCCTCCCTCTTGTCCTTCTATCCTTCCTGCAGTAGCAACCACTCTATTTGTATTTTATCCAACTACCTCTTCACATATAAACACACACAACAGTGGAGAATATTCAGAGAAAATGCTGCTATGGTGTGGGAAGGCCCTCTGAATCCCCCCCCCCCCCAGTTTGTGGAGAAATACTAGCCCAGATCTAGTCAACCTTTTCCTAAACTTTAAATGCTCCAGAAGCCCCCTTCTTTCTACTTCCCATACAGAAGCCTACCATGAAATCATCACAAATTGCCCCACTACAAATCCCATCACTCTTGGGAGGTCAGATATCTGAATGGCCGGCACTCATCCTCGGAACTCCACCCTTCCTCTTCTCCGGACAGGCCGTGAAAATTCACCAGAAGTTTTTCAGCGGCGCTGCTTGAATTGGTCTCAAATCTGGTTTTAGGCAAATTTCAGTGGAGTTCAGTGGAGTCTGAATGCTGCCACGCACATACTTAACTTTAAAGAATGATTCATTCAGGGTATAATACATACCATCCTGTAGCAGACAGAAAGAACAGTATTCCATTTATCTTTTTTTTTCCCTTATGGGCACAAAACTGTTATTGTTTCTTCCTGATTTCTGTTTACTTTTTTTTTTTCTCCTTTCAAGCCAATACATTCTGGCACATCTTTCCCCAATACAGCCAAACAGTCTGTCAAATATTAACTTAATAGATGGAAAAATCTGGCTCATGAACTTACAGTTTTAAAAGCGATCACTGGTGACATTATACATTTTTATTTCTTTGGAAAGGCCTGCGTTTTGGGGTTCCCCCACTAGGGGGCAGCGCGTACCAATTAAAACTGACTTGGATGCCAAAGGACCAGCCACTTCGATAAACCTTGTATTTTCTTCTCTTCTTTTCATCTGTAGCAACTTCAGGGCTATCTCTTAAAAGCGTCTTTTCGCGGCCCACGAAAAAGGCCTCTCCATAACCGATGGAGAAATCTTTCCTTGGTGGATCAAAGAACTCACCCACAGCCCAACATTCGGTACATAAAGTACGATTTGGGGATTCTGCTCGGCGGCGCAAGCCGCGTCTAAAAAAACTTCTGTACGTTTCGACAGTGAAATGGAAGAAAGGGTTTACTTGGAAGTCATTCTGGTTGATCTGGGTGGCCTAGCACTGGAAATCCTCTAGTTGTGATCCTGGTTTAATGGCAGTTTCTAGGGAAGAAAGATGAACGAAGGCAGATCTCTCGGGGGTGGGTGACCAGACGTCTGGCGAAAGGAGGACACGTCCCCCTTTTTATCCCCATGTCCTCCATCCGGCAGGCCATTCGATATGATTGCTGGCACGTGTTCTTGAAAATAAAGATTTGATGGGAGAAGATGGCGACGGAAAAAACCGTCTTCCTGATGCTGGAAAAAGTAATTTCATATGCGTGGAGGCCTAAGGACATTTTTTTGCTGAAACTTTTGTCGCAGATGCCAAGAAATTTAATCTGTGAGCATGTCCTCCTTTCCCCCCCGTTTTGTCCTCCTTTCCAATTGTCCGTGTCCTCCTTTGCTGGTTTGGATATCTGGTAACCCTTCTTGGGGATAACAAGGTGGCAAAAATGGGGAAAGAAGGGAAGAATGAGAGGAAGAGGAGGAATAAGAACAGGAGAAGATGGATAAAACAAGGGAAATGCTAACCCAGCGTTTCTCAACCTTGGCGACTCTAAGATGTGTGGATTTCAACTCCCAGAATTCCCCAGCCAGCCAGATTTCTGGGAGTTGAAATCCACACATCTTAGAGTCGCCAAGGTTGAGGAACGCTGTGCTAACCTGTTTTTCCTAGGCCACATCTAGGAAATTATTTGCAACTGACTACAAAATCCCCCAAATTCTCTGCAGTTAGAAAGACCAGGTCTCCAAGTCCTGGTGGCGGGGTGGGGAGCATTTGCAACTCTACCACAGCATCTTGGTTTAGTTTCTCTTTCTTGCAAAAGCCTGCGTTCGCGTCAAGCCTATCCATCACCGAAATGTCCCCGATACACTCATGGCTCTCGTTAAGGCAGCCTCCGGTCTCATGAACGTCAGGCAGACCGCACCCCCCTTGCCATTCAAAGGAAAAGGGAATTTCACTTATTTAAGCCAGCAGCCCCTCTGTTCCTTCCTGCCTAACCAAAATCTTTATTTGTATTTTCAAGGGGGTGGGCGGGGAGAAGGCCAATTCCAGAAATATAACTGAATGCCCGTCAGCTGCATCCTGATTTTTCCTTCTTTACAACGTCTAGGATGGAAGCAAATCCGGGAGAAACACGGAGGAGGAGGAGGACTCCAACAGATTTCTAAGCGTATTTTTTGGCCTAGTAAAGGGGTTGATAATCAGCTTGGTTTGCCCACTTATAACTAGGCTGAAATGGCCTTCTGAAATGGGCACAAATTTGCAGGCGTTTGGTGGGGGTGGTTTCTTCACAGTTCTCCAGGGTAAGGAGAAATTCTCCAACCATTTCTGAAAAAACAGGATGTCTGTCTGCTTGCCTGTCCGTCCATCCGTCCATCCGTCCATCTGTCCATCCATCCATCCATCCATCCATCCATCCATCCATCCATCCATCCATCCTCTCTCTCTCTCTCTGATCTATCCATCATTTATATAGCTTTAGTGGCAACCGTGGCCACAGCATTGAAAATCCTCCAGCTTTTCCTCCTGGGGTCTTCTCTTGGAATGGCCTGGGATGTGGAAAGTGTGGGGGGTGTACAGATGGTGGAAAGAAGATGGTGCAACGAAAGGGAGACCGTTCACACCCAGCCCTTGCCACGGACTTAGTGCAGGACACCCCAAGATGCCCTCAAATTCTCACCTCCACTGGAGGAATCTTTAAAGCGAATGGAAAGAGTTGGCAAAGATGCAGAAGACCCTTCCCACCCCAAAACAGATTTTAAAACTACTTTTAAGGCATACGCACTAATTCCCTTAAATTCAGTCAGATTTATTCCCAAGTAATTGCTTGTAAGTTCATGATAGGAGGCCAATTTTGGGAAAGGAGAAATAATTACAAACAAGGTTCTTCACTATGAAAGCACATGGCATGGGTGAGTCTGCAAGGAACTTCAAATCCCCGTTGTTTTCCCAAATTCATATAATTTCATTGCAGCAGCAAGGAAACATGCAAACTCTTCCAGTTTTGGACAAGCCATTGCAAAAACTTCAGAAAATAAAGATACAGGTTGGGGTTTTCTTGCACTTAGAGCAGCTATTAGGAATTGGGACTGTTTGTTAGCACCGAAGCAAGAAAAGAGAGAAGATAGGATTCCGGTTTTTAAATCCTTAGGGATTCCTACTAATTTGGGGGTTCAATCTTTTCATTCTTGGCCCTGTTTGAATGCAGCAGAGCTGTTTGTCGAAGGTGGGAAGGGACCACCTATTTAAAAGTTAGCTCTCGTAACTGGAAGGTTTTCAAAGGAGTTGGACAGCCAGCTCGCCGTGATGATGAATTTCCATTGGAGATTCTTCATTTTTGAGATTTGTTCAGGAGAGGTGAGCAAGAGTGCAATGCTCACCAGTCTGAAATTGGTTGACATGATGTTTCTTAACTTTTCCCCCTCATGTGGCTGGTGGGGACGTTGAATGGTCAGCTAAAACGTCTAACCAACATCAGGCTGAGAAGGTTTGGTTAGAAAATGAGATTGCCCTTAGTGTATCTGATCTACATAATGAATACTGCCAGAAAAGGAGAGAAGGGTATGATTTTGAGTTTCACATCGCCCATATCCCAAACCTGCTCTCCAATTTCCCCAAAGTTTTCTTCCGTTGTGGAAGAAGGGGTTGGGTTTGGTTCTGTGAAGGCTTTCACGATTTCTTGTAATTGTGCTCACGTCAGCAACCTTACGTAGGAGAATCTCACCCAGCGGTTCTTTTCACTGGAACTTTTGAAAAAAATTAAAGCAAGCTGGCAAGTTTTTGTTTCATAAAGCTGAGAATCGGAAGAAGCACAGAGTAAAATTGCCACCCATCAATTTAAAATAAAAAAGAGTTATCCCTGACTGTCAGAAATCTACAGCACAGCCCTCCGAAGCAGCTAATTTAAAGACAGTTAATGGAAGAATATCTTAGAGTTCAGAAGGATCTCAGACATCATCTAGGGGAAAATCCTCCTGTGGATGGAATCTGCTAAAGCAATTTGGGCAGGTGACTCTGCAGCTTCTCTTTGAGGACCTCCAGCGATGGAGAACCCACCACTTCATGTGGCAATCTGTTCCATTGACCCACAGCTTGTATAGTCCAGACGTTCCTCCTGACAACTAGCCAGAACCTGCTTCCTTCTAGGTTTAACCCATTCATTTTGTTCCTGTCCTCTGGAGGAACAGAGAACAAGGCCACTCTTTCTTCTGTATTACAACCATTCAGATATTTGAAGACTCTCCCCTCAGTCAACTTTTCTGTAGGCCACAAAAATTCAGATCTTTTAATTGCTCCTCAGAGGGCTTGGTTTCCAGACCATTCCCCATCTTGGTAGCCCTCTTCTGAACTCACTCCATTGTGTTCCTGTCTCTTGTGAACTGTGGTGCCCAAAAATGCACCCAGGACTCCAGATGGGGCCCAACTAGAGCAGAACAAGGGGAGAATTTCTTCCCGCAATCTGGACTTGATGCTCCTGGTAATGCACTCCAAGATAGCACTGGCCTTTTGAGCAGTGGCGATAGGGCCACTGAAGTAAGTCCTACTGTTTTCAGTAGGGTTTACTTCTTAGTAAGCCTTTAGAATGGCAGTTTTATAGACCGGATAATCCTATCAAAGGAGGAAAGGAGAAGGGCTCAGTTTTGGTCATCACAGTACAAGAAGGATGCCGAGAAAGTGGAAAGAGTACATGGAAGCATGACAAAGATGGTGAGGGTCTTGGAGGCTAAATCCTACGAAAAGCTGGATATTTTTAGCCTAAAGAAGAGAAGACACCTGATAGCAAATCCTTGAAGTGCCATCAAAGGGAAGAAATTGTCAATTTATTCTCCATGGCACACAAGGGTAGAACAAGAACCAGTGGGTGGAAGCTTTACACAGAGAGATGCAAACTTGGAATAAGGAAGAACTTCTTGACCGGGAGAGCTATTGAGCAGGCAACAGCTACCTCCTGGAGTTGTGGAGGCTCCATCCCTGGAGATTTTCAAGCAAAGCTTGGACAACCATTTGTCTGGGATGGCCTGGGGATTCGGGCCCTGGGTTAGGGGTTGGCTAGAAGACCTCCAAGGTCACTCCAGTTGCACGATTCTGTAATTCTATGAGATCCTGTGGCAGAGTAATTGTCCCATTCCTATTCTCACTTGCACGCTACAGCTAGGGGGAGAAGAGAGAGTTGTAGTTCACTAGCATCTGGATAATCACAACTTCCATATCTTTGGTTGAACAGATGTATGGTGTACCATCATACTTACACTACTAAACCTAGTTCCATCAGACCTCACAGTCTAGCTGCTAAATGGAGCTGCTCCTAAATCTTATTTGTTCCCCTTGCATATTTGTCTCTCTGTGTTAGGCTCTCTGGTTCTCCCCACTTATTTCCCATAGTCTGTGCACTAATGTAGAAGCATCTGAGATTTGGAGAGGCACCAGCTACCCCCTCCGCATTGTCGTTTCCTGCCAAATTCTGGGTCCCCAGGCCGAGATGATCTTTTTTAAAGATTGTGTTTTCAAGCTGTTGATTAACTGACTGCCTTCACTGGGCCAGCTTGCTAGACATATAATAATAATAATAATAATAATAATAATAATAATAATAATAATAATAATAGATAATAGTTTCAACGTTGAGGCTGCATTTTTTAAAAAATGGGCCCTTTCGAGATTTGAGCAAACCCTGGCTGAGAAAAGGAATAAACAGAAAACCCAGAAAGGGGAGAAAGATCTCAATTTGGCAATAAAAACACAGAGATGTCCTTAAAAAACTTTTCATATTGAGGAAAAGCCATAAAATAATCATGCACTTTCTAGTAACAAATAACAACATTAGTAAGTACTGTACTATAGTCCCAGTCAACATGGGAGGAGGTAAAAATCTGCCTGATGTGTCTTCTATTGTGAAATTTTACTCTTTGGCGAAGATTATAAACCCAGTTAGACCTTGGTTTAATAGAGCCCATTTAGTGGGCTTGGAATACAACAGACAGCATTTCCATCTCAAAATAAGAGACCGGTTCATTGCATCTGAAGCAGTTGAGACAAAATACTAACATTCGTGTTATAGTAGACTTACACGATCCTTACATCGTTCGCAGCATGAAGTCATTATGGAGATGACTTAAATTGAGGCAAATGACATACATGGCTGCAAAGAACGCTATTTTGCATTTTACAGACTGGGTTTCCACTAAGCTGGGAATCACCACTTTTGATTTTTCCAGCAATCCTAACCAACCAATCCTAACCTGTTGGGTGAATCAAGCTGTTGGGGTGTAGGCTATGTGAATCCCAACCTATCTGGCCAATTCATAGTCAAGATGCCGTTCTGCATATCAGGCAGAAGATTTCTTATTTTACTTTTCTTGTTTGAAAATAAGGCGGCTTATTTTTGGCCAGACGTCTTTAGCAGTGCATTGCAAGCAGAGTGTTGTTGCTATCTGAGTTTCCTCTCTGCAGCCTTTTTATATTTGCGAAAGAGCAAACGAATCAAAACGTTATAAATAGTTCAACCGTGGGTAACCTGTCCTGGTCATTTTTACGAGATCTATATCCAGCGTGCTTAGCAACGCATCTAATCCCCCCTTTTTGTTTCTCACAAGAAAAAAAAGTTATTAGCGGGGCTCATCTCTGAGGAAAATAACATTTAGCAATATCTAAGCCAATTATGTTCTGCAGTTGTTCTGAGAAGCATAATCTTATGAGCTGATTGTCACCCGAGGGGACCAGCCTCAATCAAAATTGAGTAAGATTCAGGAATTTTTGCTGCATCAGGAATTAAAGCCCAATGCCATCTTCACGGTAAATGCAAGAGTATTTTGTCCCCGATATTCTACATTATGGGAGGCATTTTTAAGAGCCAGTGGATCGGCTCTAAGACTCATCACCTTTCCGATCTCACCTTAAACAACACTGAATGATGGATTTTTGAAAAAGCTGGTTCAGTTGGTTGGGTTCAGTGATAATTCTTAGCCAAAGCCAACTGACCACATTCAAGAGTTAGACTAATCCATATTACCATTATTGCTACTGTTGTATTATTATATATTATAATTATAGTACTGCTATGCATGTATTCTTAAGAGCCCAATATTATTATCATATAATATACTGATCTGACTGAATGTGGGATTATGGAACAGACTGATTGCCGTGTGCTCCGAGAAATATTGTTATTTTGATGGCCATTTTGTTCTTTCAAATAATTTTTGAAATGAATTGTCCTTTTTATAACCTTAAGAGGTACACGTTATATATCTTTTTCCTCTTGAGTTTAAACATATGTACATTATTTCAAAACAGAGGTCTTCCTTTAGAGTAAGTAGAGTTATAAACTAGTTTTCTACACCAGTTCATAAAGCATGGTTTGCATTTAAGCATGCCATGCGACCTCGGCCAGTTATAGCTCCTCCAGTAAACCCTGGTTAAACAAACCAGAACGTAGCTCAATGCGTGAACCCAGTATGTATATTTGGGCCCAGGGGTGTATATGCACAGAGGTTCATACCTGTTCATTAATGGGACACACCACTAAGTTTTGTTCTTCGCTCGAGCGAGCCACCCGGATATATTTCAACCAGTTCCCGTTTGATGTTGGGTTCGCATCCATGCAAAATTTGTTGAGATCCAGCTCCTCGCCAATCTGCAAGAGAGGATGAGAAGGTTGGGCACAAAACTAATCAGGAATTGTTCGTCGAGAGGAGGCCAGGAGAGAGAAATCGAGTAATTCCAGGCAGGAGAACTGCAAGGCTGTCGCAAGCTTTGCAGAAAGCTTGGTAAAAATCTAGGAGGACTTCAGATCTGAAGTCCTTCTTGGATTCTCGCAAGAGAGAATCTCACAAACCCATCAAGGTGCAAGCGTGGGCTGTGAGAAATCAAGTGACACCACCAACCTTTTGAATAGTTCTCGCATGGGCTGTCCCCCGTTCAACTTTTCTCAAAACAAGAGATAAGGAACCTTTCATTTCTTCACACAGGAAAGGTAACAAGTATCATGAAAGCACTGAAAGCCATTCTCGCCCCCCCCCCGCCCTCCCCAC